TTTTTGAGATTTATTTTAGCTGGTGGAACGAACTTCGCTCTGAATTGCATCAACAAGCTGTAGCCATCGGCTGTAACATGGTTATTGGTTATTCGGAGCAGTTTGCTGTCAATGATGGTAATCTCTTCTTTCACATCTGGCGTATAATCTGTTCTTCTGTTCAAATCTAATTTCACCTTCACTTTAGCCTGAACTTGTATATCATGCAAATTGCATCTGCTGGGTGTCATTATGTTCAATTGAAGGTGTGGCATTGTTGGGATGTAGTGGAACTGCTGTGGTAATGGGAAAAGAAGAGGAGGCTACGCTTGTTGTCAGCAAGCCACGTAATGACTTGGAACAAAACGAGAAAACTAGGGTACTTCCTTTGAATTTCATGATTTTTTCAACTACTGTTTTGTTTCAAATATTCGTGGCTCCAGGAAAGCCGCGACAAGCGAACTGACTCTTCGGCGCGTCAGCCTATTCTGTGCTCACGATTTCATACGCCGCCACAAGCAGAAAAAACTCCATTCAATGCGACGACGCAAATATGTTCGATATGCAAGTAAGTTGTAATTATATATTGCTAACTATGTTTGTGCTGGAATTCATGTCTTCTTCTCAGATCGGGTTCTGTTACGGATTTTCTAATTTCCTCAACGAGTTGTCCTCCCGTGCACTACCTTATCGGACCTAAATTATTCATACAGGTCTGAATTTGCATTGCATAGTTCACTCTAATGTCTTTTCTAAGCTGTGGATTCACTACAGGTATCTGTAACAAAGAAAATCTCCACTGATCCAGATGAATCGGAAGATTATGCTACTGAAGTCAGCAATGTATGTTGTTATCTATATTTTATCTGTCGTCTTTCTTTATTCTTCTTCAGGTTCTTCCCTTCGCTGACCATGATCTCTTCAACAACCTCTTAGGTGAAGCAAAATCGCTCAATCCTAATGCAAATGCTGTTTTTGACGTTCACTGCACATACTCGCTTTCGGATTCTATGCTGGTTTCCGTTGTGACAGGTGTACTCGTACGCCTCGCATGCTTACCGGTAAAAACTATACTTCCAGCAAGGAAGCCTGAGAGAAAATCATTTATTTTTAGCGTGACGTAGCTGTCTCACCATCGCTTTCAAATGTACTATCATTCACCAATCTCCAGCGCTACAATGATGCAAGACGCTTTTCCTGGGGAACCGTGAGAGAAGCCATACGCTTCAAGCCATCTGTCACTCCAGGCATCAGCTTAAAAATTCTCAACTTGAAGTAAGTGTTCTAACGAATTCGCATTCGCTCTATCGGCACTCTTTCAGACCCCCAAACTCCGACCTTGACGAAACAGCGGCTTCCAAAGGTCGCTTGCGACTGAATAATTTTGTTGAGAAAATTCGTCGTCGTCAGTATGAGAAGGAATATGTCAGTCATGTGGTCTTCGAGAGGCATTTGAGCGCTTCCATAGGTCTCCTGGACTCCACCGCTGCTTCAAATAGCAATTCGGTTAGCTACAACAGTCCTTTCAATAAAGTTGCTTTTGTAGTTTTCTAAGCTTTTCCTTTCACATAAAATAAGGGTTTGGTGGGGTTTTCTTTGTTTCAACGTTTTAATGCATTTTTCCAAAGCAGTGCAGTGTTAAATTCATGCACTCGGCAAAAATATTCGATTGAGGTCATCCGGGGCGAAGCCTCGGATTTTATGACA